TGCTTCCTAAGACTTTGCTCATTTGGTCAACAATGCTTCCACGTCTTTATTGGCATGGTGCACCTCTTGGCAAGGGTGGGGCTAAGATTGATTTAAAACAGCGTAAGGTGAATAAGGCCATTAGAAAATCCATTACATCCGAAGTTAATGGGTCTTGCATTTTTCATGACAAAAATATCAATGTTCATCAAAGTAGTTTATTTAGATATGATGGAACTCATTTATCTGAAAGAGGGAATAAGGCTTATTTAAATAATATCCAGGGTGGTTTGGAATTCATATTAGGGGTAAAGGGCAAAATTTTCCCTCCTCAGTAATATCCTTTTATTTATTTAGTCAGATTTCAGTTGCGATGACGCGTTGACCTGTAATTTCCTAGTTTAGGATTGCTACATATATAAATATTAATTTTGGTGCAAATTATTGTGGGGAACATCATATCGATGTTAGTGGCGGGGTCAAGGGAGACATGATCCTTGTGCATGCTTAACCTGTTTGTCTCTGCCCATCTGCATCAAAGCATGGGGGCGGGTCTCATGGCTGTGTTTTAACATGGAAGTTAAATGCCATTGCGGAAATGTGTAGAATAAATGTAAATTGCTTGGGATCTGCAGCATTTCAGTGCTCAGACCCCCCTCTACCTATATAAAAGTAGGAGAGGCTACAGGCTGGTTGGTGTTAAAATTCTAAACCAGGTAGCAAGCCTGAGGCAGGGTGTAAAAGCTGTGCAGCTTGTGCCTAAGCGAGGCCACTAGTTTGCCCGTTTGTTTATGGTATCCTAGTTGTCTCCCTTGACTCCTACAAAATTTGCGGCCATTTCCATCCAAAATTGTGTGTTGTATTATTATGATCTTGTTTTTCAATAAATTAATAAAGATATAATTGGTGTTTTCAATTCTCAGAGCTGTCTGGAAGACAGTTTCAGTATAATGGTATTGAAAAGGCAGAGAAAACAAAAGCAAAAATATCATGGGCTGCAATATTCAATTAAATACGAAATGTGAATGAAACATTACTCCTAAAATGTGAATTGTCATGTTTCCTTTTTTTGTTTATTCTGTTTTATCCTACTGTATCTTACGACAGAATTATTATCTTTGATATGTACAATTCTTATTTTCTATCCGATCCAGGGAGCTCCTGGCACCCCAGGTGAGGATATATCTGCGAGGGCCTCTGAGGAGGCATTGACTCCACATTTCTTGTTAATATTGAATAAAATATTAAAACTGCAACAAGAATAAAACTATAAAAAATAAAAAGATAAAATAATAATTTCAATAAACTCTATTTTAACGACTTCAACTTCATCAATATTCCCTATAAGATTACTGTTCAATATACATATAAACATGTTTTCATGGACTTCAGGAATAAAATAAAAAAGATGATGATACATGTCTGATTATTCAGCTAATAATCTACTTACTTGTAAATAAAAAAAAATAGCTATTCAATTAAGTTTTAGTACTCTGTTCATTTCATAGAATACCAACATTTTATCAATTGTAAATGAAATAAACCAAAAGGAATCATGTACAGAACAGCAATTGACTCAAGAGTCTAGCTTTGCACTAAAACATGTAAAAGGCAAAACTGTTGCATAAAGAACAAAACTTGTTAATTATACTTCACAGAGCATGAATTTAATCATCTTCACAAAACAATTCTCACAATTCATAACAGAGGAAAACTTTCATGACATAATTTTTTTTCTTAATTTTTACAAACCATAAGCTTTAGATCCAGCAGATTGACTTAACCTCCACCAATTTTTTGTAAAAAAAAAAAAAAAATAGAGAAAAAAAAACACCCACTGCATTGCAAAAACAGTTTTTGTGTTCATACTCAAAAAACAATAAGTTTTTTCGGCATTAATTAGTACAAGATTTAGATGAACCATTTTAATCAGTGTTTTGTTACTTAAGACACAAATTTCTTCTTGATGTATGACCTGTATAAAAGAGCTGCCTTCTACACTACCAGGAGTTAAAGTGGATAATTAATTGTTAGTTTTATTGCAAGTACAGGACATTAAAATTACCGGGTTATTGTCGCCCTTTCAGATTTGGAAACAAGTTTGCTCCGTGTTAAATTCACCAAGAGAAAATATAACTGGAGCAAACATTTCCCTGTATACAGTATTTCATTGTCCTAAATGCATGATTAACTTCAAATACATTTTATTTGACTTACCGTGATATAAGCTAGTATTGAATACGTAAACTATGATTAAAGCCGCTTCATCCGAAACAGGCACATATTATCTTAAACAATAAAAGTATTCATTACATAGATAATAAATAAAAATTAATTATAAGATTGATTTAATAGTTTATTACATCAATCCTTACATGTAAAACATATACCAAAAACCTTGTTGACAAACAGCAGTTCCTGACGGGAAGTTAAGATCTGTTTTGAAGTCACCTTTGAAAAAAAAATACTTTTATCGGATATATCTAATTATGAAGAGAATTCAAACCCGAGTATTTTTTTTCAATTAGTAGAATCCTAAGTCATGATATATCTTTTAAAACTTAAGGAATTAATTGAAAAAAATCCATAGTAATTTTTATAATAATATGCATATTTACAGAATAAAGGAAAATAAGATATTTTTAAAGAATTTTTAAAAAGGGGGTTTATAGAATATTGCTCGTGTACACTGTTGTGGAAAAAATGCTCGGGTTTGTTCTTCACGAGTTATACATGTAAGCGATAAATTTAATTTTTCGAAGGTGACTTCACGTAATGTCAACAAATGTCAACAAAGGATTATTTATTGTGTGACCTATCAAAAATTATTTTTTTAACTTTTGAATTTTGATATCTTTTAAAAGAAAAAGACTTTGGGGATATAATTTGACAAAAGTTGAAATAATTTATGGACAATTATTTTTCAAGAAGAAAAACGAATATATATTTTTAGCGATTAGAATCGGACCAAGCGGCTTTAAACTAAACAGTTTGCAATCATTTTTGTCAATTGTTGATTTGGTTTATTAGTGCCATATAGATCATCTTCCAAAAGCTTCAACTCATTGATTTACAAGGAAAGCCACAGCAATCATCAATATAATATCACAATAACAGGCCCAAGGGTCACATCGCTCACCTGAGCACTTTGGCTAAGAAAACGCAGAAAATAATCAGTTCATAAAAATTAATCCAGTGATCATGATTTGAAAAAAACTTGAATCTACACTACCTCGATGATTTCATATAAGATCATATTTTCAGCAGATTGGTTCTTGACAGATTTTTAAAGAAGTGGCAATAATTTTTTCATGAAATCTTATCCCCTCTTGCAAGTAAGTGGGCCCTTTGATTGAACAAACTTGAATCACCATAACTAAAGTATACTTTGTAAAATGTTTGGTTGAAACAGTTTAAACAGCCCAGTGGTTCTTGAGAAAAAGATAATAATTTTGAAAAGTTTAAAAAAACAATGACAAAAAATGGACTAAATTGGATCAGGAAAGCTCACTTGAGCGTTCTGCTCAGGAAGGCTCTGGTGAGCTTAAAACTCAAATGCATCATATCTGAGCAATAAAATATAAAACTCTCATATAATTTTACATCTAAATTGTATATTATTTTAAAGCAAATCAGATAACAAAACTCTCTGCATGAGAAATATTTGCCCCATTACATGCTGTAAATTCATATTTTCATCAAGAGTTAAGAAGAGAAACTATAAAACTGCTGTTTACAATGAAAGATAAAAAATTAAGACCAACTTGCTAAAAACTGAAAGACTAATCATTACTATGGATTTCATTAGATTTCTCTTGTCTCATGTAAATACAATACATGTGATATTATTAAAGCTACACACATTTAGGACTTTGAGGATTCATGACATGATGTAGAAGAATATTTCTTTGATGACCAGAATATCAAACATTCAGCAAGGTAACATTTTATAACATCACAAATAAAAGTAACACATTCACATCAAGTACATACATGTATAAAACTAAGTGCATGGATATAAGTGAAAAGTTTTTATTACAAATAAACCTCAATTGTCTATGATTAAAGCATTTTCATCAAATTAATGATTATCACATTTCCATTTCAAATATACAACACAAAATGCAGCACATTTCATACATTATTTGTAACAAAGATACTTTTAATTAAAGAATAAGGGTTCTGGGCTTTCATATTCTCTGTTAAACAATAAGGCTGCTAGGCCTTCATGCTCACCTGAGTATCTTGAGTTTCTAAACTTGTGATCCACAAAGCCTTAATGTTGGGTCTGAACCTTTCACAATGGGAATTGAAATTGAGGCACTTGTTAAAGGCCTCATACTGCACATGTAGTTTATTCAAATCAATTTATTTGTAAAACCCAGATGCAAAGATTATGAAAGAATTTTCAAAATATCGTTAGGTTTTCGGACACTTAAACTCACCTAGAAAACATGTTTCATTACTTTTGTAGCCAGCATTTTCTAAATGTGACCTGAACTCCAGAAAAAGGTAAGAAATGAATTTTAACATACATATTAAATCTCCTAGTTTTTTGTTTTTTTGTTTTTTTTTATAATGTACAGTGTGATTGTCTGATATTGAAGAACTACGACCATTTGAGTAGATGCTACAAGAACTATGACAGTAGATACAATGTATGATAAATTTTTGAGTTTACTTGTTACATTGACCTACCGTGAACACTGTTCTCCTGGGAAATGAATTCCACAGTTTAAGTATTCAAGGCTCATAGCTAATTATAATCAGACAAATATGTAGTTTGTTTGATCTTTGCGAGTAAGGGAGATTCGCATAATGTCTACAAGTAAAGTAGATTTTTAAGGTAAGTGTTTGAATATGAGACTAGTTCTACAGGTTCACGGACGTTTGAAATATCTCACAAGTGTTTAATACAGATGGCTTTTGGTGCATACCGGTGGAAGAAACAAAGACACTAGGTCTGACTCAGGTGGCCATAATATAGTTCATCAACCATGTATCATTACATATTTTAACACACAACAACTCTCAGAATCTCTTATAATATACAGGTAAAAGTTAAAATTTACAAAAGTGTCAACATGATCTAAAAATATTCAAAAAAATCCTAAGATTAGAAATAAACTATGAAAAATTGAACATTAATAAACAACCACTACTGGCTTTCATAGTACCTAGCGAATCAACAAATACAATTCATAATAATTAACAGTGAACACGTAGTTAAAGCTGAGACCAATATGTGGAACAATTAATACAACACACTGAAATAAAGAACACCATCTTAACAGGTCTGAACAGATCTTGAAAAATACATTTATAACTACATTAAAAAGGATCCATATCAGGCGCTCTTAAATTCCAGATCAATATTGATCCAATTAGGTTTACAGAAAATTACTGTAAGAAAGTTGACATTTATTTTAATCAGTTTTATTCAAGTTATTTAAGAGAACAAGTAATACTGTTAAAAAAGCACCCAAGTTAAATGACTGTAATTTACAATAAACTGGAATAAAGTACATTCTAATTATATAAGAAGTCAACATAGAGCATGCACTGAAAACAATGATGCTAATGACAGAAATTAATCGGTACACATTATACACACTACAGATCTGATCTACATGGTATATATCTTAGGGGAGGTTGTTGTACCAGCTTGTTTATACAAATTAAATCCCAGGGGTTTAGTTGTAACAGCTAATTTATACAGTCTAAATCCTAGGGGGGTTAGTTGTAACAGCTATTTACATGGGTGTGGATGATGAACGTAACAGCTTGACCTCGTTGTTGCTGTCCTGGGACTGGTTCTGTTGTCTGGTACTCTCACTCCCTAGATAGTCCTGGTACTGTTCCGTGGTACTCCCGTCTAACTGGGAGCTCGACAACCAACACACCCTGTCCTGACCTTTCTGCACTCCCTCATAGAAAGCCTTAAGGAAGTTCTTCCTGTCCCTCACACCATCACTGCCCACTGTGATAGTTTCTGCAAGATAAAATGAATAATACTGCTGTAAAAATCATTTTAAAATGAAGCAATGGACATACATTACGACTCAAAAATAGCAAATATTTATATGTCACTTGTACAATAACATTACTACAAACTATGTCCTCAGGGATTCTGTACTTGTATTCTGTGGCTTTATCTTCCCCGAAATACTGAAATTAGAATTTTAATCCTTCAACTCATCAAATTGCAAAATACATCTTTCTCAAGATGTTGGCATTCATAATATATAATTAAATACATGTGTATGTGCAATTTTTCACGAATATCTAATTTCCTTTCCCTGATGATTATATAATTCCACAATGTTTGTGTGTTTAATGTATTGAAGACTTTTGTTACCTTCAGAACTGTAATACGCCAGGTGAAGAGTAACAATGAACAAGTATAGGAAGAGTTACTGTTCCTGATACTGAGGACTTACTTGAGAATCTCTGGAGTAGAGTTTTTCGTGTTAATGACGATAACAATATAAACATCCACAGATCTCTTCAGCAGTACGTCTCTCATCATACAATGCTTCCCCTACAAAATCATCACATTTATCATCAATCATTTTACTTAGGATGACTTTGGCTTCTGTGGACTCTGCATTTAATTCTAGAGTATTTGTCTACGTTTTAACAAAATAATAGTGACACACAAGGGAACAACAATACATTGTACACAAACCTATGACAGACAGTGCCGCAGTGTATTAAAATCTCTTCCTGTATTCAGAAAACAAAAGAATTTTAAATTCTGCAACTGAATTTATCCCAATTTTCAAAAGAAGAAAGTGAAATCATGATATAATACTTAGGTTATCCCCTATTCAGATTCATAGCTTTATTAAAATTAATTTACTGTAAAACCAGAAAAATATTCTTTGAAGGTTTAATTTTGTTTTATTCGTTGTTAACAATTAGCAACAAAATTTACACGTCTATACATGTACAGACATATCAATAAAACGAACAATATTCAAGATCAAAAATCCATAAAACAATACAAAATAGAAGCAAAGCAGACAAGGATCTCCAAAACTTCAGAGGTGGGATCAGGTGCCATGGAGGAGTGAGCATCCCCTGCCGACCAGTTACACCCGCCATGTGCTCCTTATCATAAAATAAAGTAAAAATCCGTCTTCAATTCAGTGTATAAATAATGGACTAACAATGAGTATGAAAAACGTCAGTCAGCTTCACCAACCCGTCGCGAGTTGTAGGTTAGCGCGACGGCGTGTTGTGCGAACTCGTGTCAGTGTGACAGCGTGCATGTTGTGTGATTTTTTGTTAGTGTGAGAGCGTGTTGTGCTAAATGTTGTGATAGCGCGATGGCGAGTTGTGTGGTAGCGTGACGGAGTGTTTTTCTAACAGACCTGTTAATCTTTAACAAATAGCCCTATCCGGACACCTTAACTGAGAGATATAAACTCTATATGTAAATTATGAAGGCACATTGGAGTTTTATGAAGAGACTTACTTTTACAATTGACGACTGACTTTTACAATTTAAACATAGACAAACTCCAATCACTAAAATGTAAAAGTCAGCTGTCAAATGTAAAAGTAAGTCTCTTCATAAAACTCCATTGATGCATAAGTAAGGGAAGTTGACGACTAAAAAATAAAAGTAATCACATTTATATCACGCATATATACATGGTTAAAAACTAATTGACTGAGCTTTCAATAACTAACACCATTCTCCGATATCTTGAATACTTTCTATAAAAATGAAAGTACGTAGTTGGGTTTTTTCTGAACTATTTATAGCACCTGAAACTTTCCATTCCGACCTGTGAAATGGACTCCACCGGAACTTCACAAATGTAAGTTTAAATGAGAGTTATACAGACATAATGCACTAAAAATGTCTTCTTTTTTAATCAACAGATTCGGTTGATAACTTCAATTCAATTATAAGAAAGAATGACACAAAACAATCTTATATCTCATTATCAGTCTATTTATAATAATTTGACAATATTGAAAATCTAAAAAAAAAACAAAAAAAAAACATTCTTTTGATAGATTAATTAAGTAAAAAAAATATGCTAACGTAAATCTTCCATGAAGAAATATATAAAGATCACAAACAATAACCCCACCCCCATCCCCGCCCAACATTCAATTTGCTTCGGATGACATAATACTCAATGATAAATTGTATTTCTTGTCAAGGTCATTGTATCGACTATAGAATTTACGAAATGACTTGAAATGAGACAGCAGATATTTTTTTCATCAACTAATTTATCAATAATTCAGCGCGTTTTAGAAATTGTTCATACTTAGAGCATACTCTTGGATATAGAACCAACTAAGAAACATAAACTCCATATGCAGGCGATGGAGGTATATTACTACATAAGTAAGGGAAGTTGTCAATTGAAAAGTTAAAATCACCACGTTTATTATAAAGCTTGGTTGTTAGATAACCATTGACGTCTCTTTTTAAGTAAAATATCACATATGAAACAGATGTGTCAGACTGTGTGGTATATTTTATTTCAAGCTCACCAGGATATATTGTATCGACATAAAAGTGGAAATAATTATTAGTAACTGACAATAGATAGTTTTCAAAAGTTACCTCCCGTTGGCCTCCATATTGGAGGTCGACTCGGTGAGTTTTCCTCTTTGTCTTACCACGTTTAAGGCAACATAGCAGAAATATTTGGTGGAAAATCTTTATCAAATATTTTTTTTTAAATAAAGGAGGCTTCCAAAAATTTATATACTTCTGAAAAATGATAATTCCTAATTCAAACTAGCAAATATAAAAATTTAAAATTGGTTGAACAATGAAGGAATATGAGCATTTGGACCTCCAATATGGCAGCCAACGGGAAGTAACTTGCTAAATTTAGGTCCATCGAAAACTATCTATACGCCGTCGATATATCTAAATGTCGAATTGAAGGCCACAGCAAATATTTTCTTCTTTTCACGTTTAAGATTTTCAACAAATTCTGCTTCATGTGAATATAAAAATAAGTCTGCTAATAGCGGGCACAATTACAATTGATACCAATGGGAATTCCAATACATTGTTGGAAGACCTGGTCTCCTAAAAACAGATAGATATTGTCAATTAGATAATCAAGCATCTTTTTGATGTCAACTTCAGAGTACTTGAATGTACCATCAGAATGTTTTTTACCAAAATAATTTTGAAAATGACCAATGACAAGGTTAGTAAATTTTCGAGTTCCATTTTCATTAAAAAAGCAGATTCAGCGATATTAAAAAAGTCTGGACCTTAAATAATCTTTGGGAATGGTGGTGTATAAAGTTGAAAAAGTCATATGTTTTTAAGCTGTTGACTTTGGTGAAATATTGTGATTTCAAATTGTCCAAAAGTTCCTTCGAATTTTTAAGTATCCACATCTGATTTACACCACTTCTCGAATAAATTGTTGCACAGTACTCTTCAAGATTCTCCTTCACTTCTGTTTATATGTTAGTATGGAGTAGAGAAGGAGGCTTGGTTGAACATTTACTGGAATCCATTCACTGAACCTTACTAAACTAACTTTTGGTTTAACAATATACATTTATTGACTGAGTTCGAGGGCAACATGCATTAATTCGGACCCAAGAACCAAACAACGCCCTCAGGCAGACAGTTTGGTTTGAGTGTCGACAAAACACATTTTGCCCGAGAAAATAGTCAATAAATGTTTTGTTTTACCTTTTATTTTTATTTGTTTTGGACATACATATTTAGTACTGTTCGGTGATGTAACCTCACGTCCATCACTTTTGAAAACCAACGAATAAAAATGAGATTAAGCTTCACCCTTTTTGTGACGTAAGCGGTCCAATATCTTATCCTTCGGTCAAACATCGATTTTTCATTCATGTCCAGTTCACTTAATCAATTCGATATTGTCGACATCGCAATGTTGACAATGTTGATACGATATCGTGTTTACATTGTCACATTGTTATTATTTCTACATGACGACATCGTCAACATCGCAATGTAAACAATGTTGATACGATATCGCGTTTACATCGTCTACATTGTTATCATTTCTACATGACGACATCGTCGACGTCGACATCGCAATGTTGACAATGTTGATACGATATCGCGTTTACATTGTCAACATTGTTATTACTTCTACATGACGACATCGTCGACATCGCAATGTTGACAATGTTGATACGATATCGCGTTTACATCGTCTACATTGTAATCATTTCTACATGACGACATCGTCGACGTCGACATCGCAATGTAAACGATGTTGATACGTTCTTCACTTTAGACTTAACCACAACTCGACAAAATCGCACCCCACTCTATACAAAATAGGGTTATTCTCGCACCCCACTCTATACAAAACAGGGTTAGTCTTGCACCCCACTCTATACAAAACAGGGCTAGTCTCGCACCCCACTCTATACAAAACAGGGTTAGTCTCGCACCCCACTCTATACAAATACACAACTCTATTAATTAGGGTTAGTCTCGCACACAACTCTACTAATTAAGTTTAGTCTCGCACACAACTCTACTAATTAGGGTTAGTCTCGCACACAACTCTATTAATTAGGGTTAGTCTCGCACACAACTCTATACTAATTAGGGTCAGTCTCGCACACAACTCTACTAATTAGGGTTAGTCTCGCACACAACTCTATAATATTTAGGGTTAGTCTAGCACACAACTCTATAATAATGAGGGTCAGTCTCGCACACAACTCTACTAATTAGGGTTAGTCTCGCACACAACTATATAATAATTAGGGTTAGTCTCGCACACAACTCTACTAATTAGGGTTAATCTTGCACACAACTTTATAATAATAGGTTTAGTCTCGCACAAAATTTAATAATATTATGCGTCCACATGCGACTCGGTATTTTCTAACTGATTTCAATAAGTCATTCAAATCCATAATAAAAGTATACACATTCCCTAAATAAATAACGTAACTGACACAAAACAAATTAATAAAAATATTTTCCCGTACAATTTGTCGTCGCTATAGAAAATTTATTTCTGACGTCACGTTTACGCCGTCAGGATAGCAACGACGCTAAAAGCTACACACTTTAACGTTATTGCATGAAAACAAATTTAGGAAGTGGAAGGATGTCTGCATTTGTGCATCGAGACAGAATTCAAAATCGCTACAAGGAAACAATTAATGATCCATTCGATGAATTAACAAATGAAATGTTGCATAATACTGCAGAGTCGAACAGCGTACCGATGGAATTTTTAATTCCTCCTTTTCTTACTTGCATCGCGCATTTCCTTAAGAAATCGGAAATTCGACCCTGGTGAAGCTGGACCCAACCTTTAATTTATTCTGCGACGGTCGGATTCACTGGAACAAACAAAACAGCAGCTATGGATGCTGGCCGTAATGCCATTGCCGAAGTTGAGAGTGCTACCAAACTTTGCGACATGAGGTCTATAATAAATCAATGTAAGTACATGCATGTACATAAAATATTTACCGGGGTATTACTTATTAATTCATTATTAATATCAATTTTTTATCTAAATACTTTAACATGAATATTTAAGGTTTTAGATTTCCGTAATTGGAGCAATTGTGACGTCACTGTGAAAATACGAAGATTTCTATGATCAATCAATCAATTGAAGGTCATAGAAAAAATCCTGTTTTTATTACACAGTCATGTAAATGAAAGGGGGAAATAACTACGTCTGCTGATATATTAGATATTACTATAAAATCACGCACATGAG